AATAGACAAAAATCTTTCCTCGGGTTACCCAAAAATCCCCCGGGGTTTTTTCTTTTTTCGGCCCCAAAAAGGGTTTTTTTCCCTTAAAGACTCTCCCCCTTAAGAAAGGAACTTATTCCCCCCTTAACCCCCAAAAAGAAAAGAATTTTTTGGGTTTTAAATTTTTCCAAAAAAAAAAAAAAAACAAAAAACCGGAAAAAAAAAGAAAAAAAAAAAAAAAAACTTTGGGTAAAAATTTAAACCCCACCAATTTATGTCCTTTTAACTTTACCCCTAAAACCTAAAGTAATTATTATAAAAATAATAATCCTTTCTGCCGTTCATAATCCCTAATTTTTAAAAAAAAAAAAAATTATTTATAATTTTTTAAAAAATTAACCACAAGCCCTTTTTTTTTTTTTTTAAATATTTTAAATTTTTTTTGGTTTTTTTTGTGGGAAGGATACATGTTTGGAGTTATAAAGAAAAAAACCATATATTATAATTTCATTCTTTTTTTTTTTTTTTTTTTTTTTTTTTTTTGGTTTAAAAAAATGTTTTGTGTATTATTAACAAAGATATATGAAATAAATATGCTTTAAATATTATTATTATTATTATTATTATTATTTACTATTATTATTACTATTATTATTTATTTTTAAATTAACAACATGTTTTAGATTGAGTTGGTGCGGCCTCAGTTGTTGCGGGTTCATCTAGTTTAAAACCTGTAGTTTGTTCTTGAGTTTGATAGGATTCTAAAATGACCTTGACTAATTCTTCTATAGCTTCATTTATACCTGTATCCTCTTTTGCAGAAGTATAAAAGTATTTGTGAAATCTATTTGTTTGACAAAAAGCATCGATATCCTCTGGGAATGTGTATGGTTGTGTTAAAAGATCACATTTATTTGCAAGAAGGATTGTTGGTAAATCTTCTTTATTAAAACAATAATCAATATCATCCTTCCATGCTTTTGCTCCTAAAAATGTTCCACTTCTAGTTGAATCAAATACAACAACTGCACCATGTGCATTTTGAAAATAAACTCTTGTCATGTGACCAAATCTATATATACAAATAAAAATAATTTTAATTGATTAATACAAATGTACCCATTAATAATATATGCTCTAATACTATTAATGAAACCAACCTTTCTTGTCCTGCAATATCCCACAATTGAAGTAATACTTTTTGACCCATAATTTCTAAAAGCTTTTGTTGAAAATCTACACCGATCTATAGAGGATAAATTGATAATATTAATATACGTTTAACCATCTCTTATATTTATTATTACTATGATTATTATGATTGTTATTATTTTGTTATTTTTTTTTTTTTTCGTTATCTCCATATGCGCTATGCATAAATCGGGATATTTGGAATTATTAATATTTAAAAAATTATTGTATGATCTCTTACAGTTGGTTTGTATTTAGGTTGAAAGTGATTATGACAATATCTTTGTATAATACTGGTTTTACCACATGCCAATTTCCCAACGACTAAAATTTTTAAGCTGATAGCTTCATCATCAGAGTTTTTTAAATCGCTCATTTTATTTATTGGTTTAATATATATAGTTTTTAAAAAAAAAAGGGTTGTATATTTATATAGTGCCTATAGTTTTACAAAATTATATCAGTAGTATTACTAATGTTATGTTTTTTAGATATTATGTCGGTAATTGTCTTTGTTATTATTATTAAATAATTTTGAACCTTTTAAACTTTATTTTATAAATACTAATATTACTATAATTATTATTATTGTTATTATTATTATTATTATTAGTTATTACAATGATTTTTATTATAGTTGTTGTTATTTATGTCAAAAAAATATATTTAAACTTTGTGTTGGTTGTGTGTGTTTTTTTTTTTAATTTTTTAATTTTTTTTTATTTTTTAAAATATTTATTTTTTTTTATTTTTTTATTTTTTGAAAAATAAAAAGAGTTTTTTTTAAAATAACAATTTAAAATTTATAGATAAAAAAAAAAAAATAAAAAAAAATAAAAAACAAGTTAAGTTTAATATAATTATATGTGATTGAATAAAAATAAAAAACCAATTTAAAAAAAAAAAAAAAAAAAAAGGGGGGGTTTAAAAAAAAAAAAAAAAAAAAAAAAATAAAAGTTGTTTGATAATCATCAAAAAAAAAAACCAGAGACTTCCACCAGTCCAATTTTTGGGATTATCGACTCCAAAGATAAAAAAAAATAAAATAAAATAAAATAAAATAAAATAAAATAAAATTGAAAAAAAATAAACATTATTATTCATAGATATATAATAATTCAAAAAATAGGGATCATATGATTTCCTTGGAAAAATAAACTATTAAGGAATACGATGGTAGGTGTTGGTTTAAAAAGTTGATTTTTTTTTTTAAAAAACTTTATTTTTTAAAAATTATAGATAGTTATATATTAATATTGTTGAGTTATTGTATTTTGGGTTTTGTGATGTTTTGGTTGTGATATTGTTATTGTCATTATTGTTGTTATTTATTTATTTGTTTATTTATTTATTTATTTATTTATTTATTAAGTTTTTTTCTTGATAATTGACTTTTTAATGATTCATCAACGGTGATGATAGCTTTTTTATAATCTGTAGTTTTATATTTATAATTGATACGAGAGGCTTTTCTACCAAAACCTTTAATGGCTTGTTTAATTCTACCTTGAACATTGATTGTATTTACTTTATCGACTGGAGTACCATAAAGGGCTTTGACGTATGTTTTAATATCTACTTTACCAACATCACAATTGGTTTTGAACATTAATTTACCATCAGTTGGGAATGATTTTTGTGTGTTTCTAATGACTTGAAGTTTTAAATTTGGAAAGAAAACATGATTCATTAATCTAGTTCCTAAAGCTGGTTTATTTAATGGATTGATCATTTTTATATATGTTGAATTGGTTTTTATTATATACAATCTTTTTTGAGGTCTGTTTTTAAACTTTAATTTTCTATGATTTAAAATCTGTTATATTATTAACACTACTGTTATTATTGTATAATATTGTAAAATAATATAAATTTCTAAAGTGAAAAAGATATGTTATTTCTTTTTTAATATGAAAAACGAAAATTATAAAAAAAAAATTTAAAAAAAAATGAAAAAAAAAAAAAATAAAAAAAAAAAAATTATATAAAATTTTTTTTTTTTTTTTTTTTTTTAAACATTTATTTTTTTTAATTTAAATCTTTTTTTGTTGAAAAAAAAATATTTATAGCAACAGTTATAAACCCAATTTGTTTCAGATTTTATTTACTATTGTTTCTTATTTTTTTTTATAATTTTTTTTTTTGTATTAATTTTATTTTATAATTTTTTTTTTAACCCCCACACAATAAACAAAAAAAAAAAAAACACAATCATATTTTTTTTAATTCAATTAAAATTTTCTTTTTTATTATTTTTTATTACTAATTGATTGATATATAATATTAATTTGTTTTAGTTAAAATAAATAAAATAAAATAAAAATGAACAGGAATGAAATTAAAAAAAGGAATATAAATAATAAACAACAAACGACAACAGGGAATAATAAAAATATAAATAATAACCAAAATTTAAATAATAGTAACAATAATAATAATAACAACAATGAATCAACAACAGTTAGCTGGGCTAAAGATTTTATGAATTGGAATGATGGAAATTTAGAAAGAGAAAGGACACAATTACAACAACAAAAAGATCGTTGCTTTAAAGTTTTAAAAAAGAGTACAATAGCCTGTATACTGTTATTATTTATATCATGCACATTAATTTATGCAATGACACAGTACCCATCGGTATCAGGTGGTGATGCTGGCGAATTAATTATTGTGGCTCATCAAATGGGTGTTGGTCATCCTCCAGGTTACCCATTATTTACTTTTCTTGGTTATTTAGTATCACATTTATTCCCATCAAATAATTTTTCAGTTGCATGGAAGGTTTCATTCATGTCATCAATGGTTGGTTCTCTTGCAAGCATTTTCATTTATTTAACTGTTTATTTGTAAGTAACACTTTATTTATATATAATTTATTTAAAATTTAAAATTATTAACTTTTATTATTTTCAAAAAAAAAAGATGGGTAAATAACCATTGGTGTGGTTTATTATCAGCATATATGTTCACATTTTCACCATTGATTTGGATGTATCAAATTCAGGGTGAAGTATTTTCATTAAACAATATGTTTACAGCAATGTTATTATTTTTAGGTGTTTGGTATACAAGGGTTAGAATATTCGAAAATGAAAGATATAATACAGCATTTTGGACATCAGAAAGAATTGCATACCTATGTGCATTTAGTTGTGCATTAGGTTTAACAAATCAACATACTTTGGTTTTGGTAGTTGTTCCATTTGCATTTTGGTTAATGTTTATAGCTGGAAGAGATCAACTTTGGAATATGAGAATTATTACAAATTTAGTTTTCTATACATTGTTTGGTTTATCACCTTATTTGTTATTAATCATATTACCAAAGTTAAATAGGGTTAAATATTCTTGGGGTAACACAGCAACATTACGGTATGTTTATAATACAGTCTCAAAGCTATTTTAAATAAATACTAATATTCTTTTTATTTAAAATTTTTATAGTGGTTTTATGAAACACTTTTTAAGAGAAGAATATGGTACCTTACAGTTATATGGGGGTGATGGTGGTTCAATTTCATTATTTGTGAAAATCTACACATATTTTGAAAATTTAATTTTACAATTTAATTATATTGGTTTGGTTTTAATCTTAATTGGTATATTAAATTTATTGTTGGGTTATAATTTAAGGTAGGTTTTAATTTAAAATTTTAATTTATTTTATACAAATTATTAATAATTAATAATTTTTTTTTATATAGAACATTTAAATGGAAATCATTTGGTACAATGATAATATTTTCATTTTTATTTTATATTACATTTTTCTTTAATTTATGTAATTTACCAATCGAAAAACCATTATATAAAGGTGTATTTTTTAGATTTTTTATGCAACCAAATGTATTTTTATCAGTAGCAATGGGGTTGGGATTAAGAACAGTTTTTCAAAAAGGTAGTGAAAAATTAAGGAAATATTTATTACCAATTGTAGCAATCGGAATATCAATATATCAAATTCAAAGCAACTATTATCTTCAAGATCAAAGTAACAACTATTCATTCTATGACTATGGTCATGCAATTTTAGATACTCTTCCAAGAAATACACTTTTATTAGTTGGTGGTGATCTTTGTACAAATGTGCCAATGTATTTAAACTTGGTCGAAAAAGTTAGACCCGACGTTGATATAGTCAGTATGGAAATTATGAGTTGGGAATGGTTCAAGGTTACACAGGCTCCACTATTTAATAGAATTATATTCCCAGGCGAAGTTTATCATCCATATGTTCAAGGTGGTTATTCATTAAAAGCATTTTTAGATAGTAATATCCGTAATAGACCAATTTATCTTGCTGGAGATTTCAAGTCTGGTGATAATTCATTCCAAAAGGACTATTTCACTATTAGCAAAGGTTTAACTGCTCAAATTATCCCAGTCAAAGATTCAGAAAATTATAATGTTTATAAAATAATTAAAAATACACTAAAACATTTCCCAACTTTCGATTTACCAACTGATATCGTCAAATATCCAGAAGACTCTTGGGAATACTTTTTGGTTGGTGAAATGGTTGTTAATCTTGAAAGAGCATCCGAAAATCTTTTCAAAACCTATTTAAATCAAGAGTCTAAAGAATCTCTTCAAGCTTTAGAATTAACATTAGAAATTTTATTAAAATCCCTCAAACTTCAAGAGGACAGATGCTGGTCATTAAAACACATCGGTATTAGCTATGATCACTTACGTTATAGAATCCTTAAAGATAATAATAATGCAACAAATCAAAAGCAGGCCGAATACTATTCCACCCAATTATTACATTACTGGAAAAAATATATAAATCAATGTTATAATGATAGAGATGGAGATTGGGATACTATTAAAAATGTAATTCAACATATGTCAAATTAATAATAAAATAATAAAGTAACACTATTATAAACATATCTATAATATAATACATTTATTTTAATTTTTTTTTTTTATTTTATTTTATTTAAATACAAATTGTTGTGGTTGTGGTTTGTTCTATTATATTCACACAGGAAAAAAAAAAAAGTAATATATTATTTATTAATTATTATGATTATTTATTTTTTTTCTTCATCTTTTTTATCTTCATCTTTTTTTTCAAGATTTTCCAATTCATTTTTAATTCTATTTGGATCTACACCAGGAAGGGAATTTAAAGTTGAATTTAAAAAGTCTTGATCTTTGAATGCTTCGGCTGATGGATCTTGTGAATCAGTTGATGGTTGAACATCCATTTTATCGGTTGCTAATGAAAGTGCTAAGGCTTCAGCAAGCTCTGGATCTTCTTCAAAGTTGACATCTGTATTTGAACTTTCTGTTGCTGCGGTAGTAGTTGGGGCTCCACCATTTTGTTCTTCTCTTGCTTTTCTTTCTCTTTCTTGACGTTGTTTTTCTTCTTCTAATGAAAGTTTAAGGGCCATAGCTAAATCTGGATCAGTATCTGCATTAATAAACTCACTACCAAATTGTCCTGATCCTTCATCTACAATTGGTGATTGTAAAATAATATCTGATAAAATATGTGGGCCTGGTGGTACAGTTAAAAGGTGACTATCAAAAATAATAAAAAAAATAATTTATATTAGTATAAATAAATTAAATATTTGATTGTGGGGGTGGATGTTTTATTACCTTTCATCATTATTATTTACATCATTAAAAAAGGCTTCTAATTTATCAGTATTTTCAGTAATTTCACCAAAGTTAATAATATCTACTGCTACACTATTTTTCTTTAAACGTTTGGCTAATTGAATTAATTCTTCTTTAGTTTCTTTTAATGGACTACCAACAAATGCTATAATTCTTGGATGTTGGTGTTTATTTTGTCTGTGTCTAAGGGCAAGCTGTTGTTTTTAAAATTTTTATTAATTAATATAAAATTTAAAATATTAATATATTATTATATATGACTTACTTGGGCAATTTGCATAGTTGTTGAAAAATCAATCTTTCCACTAATTTTAACTTCTTGAGCACCTCCAAGAACTTTTGATAATTCTTGAGTTAATGTTACTAAAACCTCTGGTCTGTAAATTATGTTTATAAATACAAATTAATATGACACTAAAATTTATTTAAACTAGATAAAATAATTACGTTTTACCAGCCATTGACATAATTGCAACAGCACTTTCTGGATTTGATTGAGTTTTTGAGGCTAAATAAAGAAAAAATTAGTCACCTGTCATCTATTTTAAAATAACTAAATTGTTTATAATGATAAATACCACAAATTAAATTGACAGCATCTTTTTGAGCTTCTGCTCTTGATGGTGCAAAATCACCATTTCTCATCCATTCTGAGTTATCCAAACTGTTATTAAATTATAAATTTGCATATTAGTTTTGATCAACATAAAAAAGATCCTTGGTTTATATAAATAACTTTTTTTAAAAACTTACCAAACAATAGTTGCTTCAAGAGCCATAATTTTATGTATATATATAATTTAATATTAAAATAAAGAAAAAAAAAATATAAAAAATAAATTAAAAAAAAAAGGTCAGTTCACAAGTAATAAAAAATTAAAAAAAAATTAAAAAAAAAATTAAAAAAAAAAAATTTTATAAAAAAAAAAATTAAAAAATTAAAAAATAAATAAATTTTGAAAAAAAAAAAAAAAAAGAAAATAAAAAAGAAAATAAAAAAAGAAATAATTAAATTAAATTAAATTATTTTATTATAATATTACTTTTATAATTTGATTTTCTGCTTATGGTTCAAAATGATCGACTAAATGATGAACTATATCCCAACCTTCACTGTTCACCCAATCTCTCTTTACTACTATATTTGTATGGGATAAAAAGTTTTTAAAATACATATGATATCGAACAAAATCTAACTTTCTTAAATTTGTTAAAATTCTTTTTAAATATAAATGATGAGTGTCGTGTCTAAAATAATCTTCTATCTTATCTTGGTGATTATGTTTTGATATTGCGTATAGTTTTTTGGTTTTTTCAATTTTGGGTTGATTTTCATTTTGGTTTTTACTATTAATTTCTTCTTCTAATAGTTTTGGGTCTATATCTAATAAAGTTTCTTCTTCGATTATATGGGAATACTTTTCTGTAAATTTCATAATCTTTCCAAGAGTGTATGGGTTTTTTGCAGAGATATCTGATGTACAAAAATTAACTTGAATATCGTTATAAATATTGGAGTATAGTATTCTCTTTCTAAATAATTTTAAACCTTCAAAAAAGATACCCTCAGTCATTTTAACTAATAATGGCATTGGAACCTCTTGATCATTGGTTATAACTTCATTTTCTTCTTTTTTTTCAATTATTGTTAACTTTTCATCATTTCCAACTGATTTATAAACTTCAATGGATGGTGATGATATTTGAAGAGGTGGTGATGAAACTATTGCTGGATCATTTGAACTTGTAGTTGTATTTTCAAATCCTTTAGGTAAATTTGATGTATCGGGAAATACTTTAATATTATCGGGTAGATCTGAATCATGAAGTATTAATTGCCTTCCTGTAACTGATAAAAAACTATCTACAAAATAATGGGCCACTTTATTAAAAACTGTAGTACTTGGCCTTCTACTACCGCAATGAGGTGATGACAAACTTATAAATTGATCCGGTTCACAAATTTTAAAAAACCCATCTCTATATAATAAACCAATTGCATATCTGGCTACCAATCCACCCAAACTGTGTCCAATAAATGAAATCTTTTTTGGATGATTGTATTTTTCGTATAGCTCTTTAACTTCAACAAATAATCGATTACCTACTTTGTCAATACCATCACGGGTTGCTAAAAAATAACTATTGCTTTTTGCTGCTACCTTTTTTTATAAATACTATATTAATAAACTTTTTTTTATATTTTATTTTTTTTATTTTAATATAATACATACAAATTCACAGTTTTCAAAATTTTCTTTTTCGAATCTACTAATAATAGAGTTGAAATCTTGGTATGTGGCATGCAATCCATGCTGTAAAACTATTAAATGATTTATTTTATTATCATTTTCTGTATTAGTAACTGTAGTATCTTTTATAGAATCCATTTTATATATATTAATAAATGACTAATACAACAAATATAATTATTATTAAAAGACAGATCCAAAAAATAAAAAAAATAAAAAAAATTTAATTAAATAAAATTTAAATTAAAATGAATCTGTTATTTTTTTTTTTAATTTTTTTTTTTTATTTATTTTTTTTTAAAAATAATTTGGACTTTCTTATTTATTTTTGGTTTAATAAAACCATAAAAAAAAAAAGAATAATTTTAAAGAAACACAAAATATTTTATTTTATATGAATTCATATAAAATCCATTTAAAAAACCACTTTTTTTTTTTTTTAGCTTGATTAATTGATTTTGACTTTTACTTTATTGTATTGAAAAATTTTTTTCTCCAAAATAAAAAAAAAATCATAAGGATATTTGGGAAATAATTATTGGTTTTTATTTTACCAATAAGTAAAGAAACATTCTACTCTTAGTTTATTTGTACATGAACAATAAACTCTTGAAATATTTTTATAAAATTTCTTCATAATTGTTGACATTATTATTTTATTTAAATTTCTTTATTTTTTTTTTTTATTAATAAATATTAAAAATAATTTATAATATCTTTTTATTAATTATAAAAAGGTATTAGTTTTAATACTATTTCTATTACAATTTTAAACTTTTAATTCTTTTAAAATATTTCTAATAATTGAAAAAAAATTTTGTTTCTTTTTTAATTGTTTTATTTTTTTCTAAATTAAAAAAACATACTCATATATTTTTTATATTTAAAAAAAAAAAAATTAATAATAGTATAGTTTATGTAATATTATTTAATAATTCATCGTATGTATATATATATATATAAATAATATAATTAAACAACTACATTCATAATAATTGATAGGTTGGAATGGAACAAAATTAATAAAAATTATAGATTTAAAAATATATATATACATGTTACAATATAAATCCTTTTTCCTGTTTTCTATTTATCTAACCCATGCCAATAAATATAAAAATCATAAATATGTGTTTATGTTGATTTTTTTATTTTTTTTTTCCCCCACTCCCCCATTTAATTATTAAAAGATAATACAGGTAATAAAACAATAGCTATCAAATTACAACAAATATCAATACCAATCATTGCTTAATTTATTTTATAATTAATTAAAAATTAACTATATATTGATTCTATTTTTAGGTTAAAAAAAAATAAAATAAAATAAAATATAAAATAAAAAAAAAAAGTATACTCTACGATTAATAATAAAAATAACAATATTAAATTACTATAACAATAACATATAATATGCTATATAAAAACTATATATTTCTATATTTAGTAATTATTAATAATAGTTTTAATTTTTAAAAAAATAAAAAAATAAAATTAAAAATTTCTATTTTAAAATAGAAAAAAAATATAGATTTTAAATTTATATTTTATTCTTTATAATTTATAATTTTATTTATTTTATTTTATATTATTTTTTATGGTTTCATTTCTTTTAATTCGCCTTCTTCATTTAAATCTTTAATGATATCATAACCTCCAACTAATTTACCATTAATATATAATTGTGGATAAGTTGGCCAATTTGAATATTCCTTTAAACCATTACGGACAGCTTGGTCAGAGAGAATATTGAAAGAATCGAAAACAAAACCATTTTCTCTGAGGATTGCAACAGTTTTATTTGAAAAACCACATTGTGGTTGGTCAGGTACACCTTTCATAAATAACATTACTGGAGCTTGATTAACTAATTTTTCTAATCTTTCGTTTAAGAGTTTCTTTTCTTCTTCTTGTGATAATTTAATTTTATTGATTTCTTCTTCTTGTTGTTTTTGTTCAGATTCAACACTAACAGTATCGCATGTTTTGGCGAAATTGTTGGTTTGTAATGCGATATCTGCTGGATTGGCACCAACGATACTATTAACTAATTTACCTTGACTTAAAAATACAACAGTTGGTACTGATTTAACATTATATTTACCTGATACTTGATGAACTTTTTCTGCTTCAATTTTTAAAAATTTAAGTTTATTTGCAGCGTTGTTGTTTGCTTGTTGAGCTAATTGGTCAAATACTGCTGAAATTTGAATTGATGGTTTGCTCCATTCTGCCCAAAATAATACAACCAAGTATTTATTATCTTTTTGTAATAATTCAAACTCTTCAAATGAATTGACTGTAGTTGACATTTTCTATTTATTTATATTTATTTATTGTGATTAAAATTAATTAATGTTTTTTAAAAAAAAAAATTTTATAAAAAAATTTAAAAAAAAAAAAAAAAAAATAAAAAAAAAATAAAAAAAAAATTAAAAAAAAAAAAAATAAAAAAAAAAAAAACAATAATAATAATTTTAGCTAAAATTATTATTAAAAAACCGTTTATACACGAAATAATTATTTCACAAACTAGATAATTTTTAAAAATGGTTTTTTTTTTTTTTATAAAAAAAAAATTTTATTTTTAAAAACTATTTACAAATTTGGGGTTTTTTAATAAATATGATTTTAATTGATTGTCAATTTGATCATTTATTATTATTACACCTCAAACCACATTTTTTATTTTTATGCAATTTTATATTTTTTTGCATAAAAATTAAAAAAATGTGGTTGGTGGTCTATTTATTATTAATTATTGATTTGATTTAATTTGGTACCATACTTGGAATACTTATTTGAGTGAATCGATTAAAAAATTCGGATAATCTAGAGTGAGTAGAATATTTTCTTATTGGTTTAACATTATTAAGAGTTGCTTTTAATTTCTTTAATTCTGTAATTAGTGTAGCTGTATCATTTGGATCTTGAATTTCTATACCGAAAATACTACCAACTCTATCTGCTTCAACTACAATACCTTCATGGAGATTATTATCTCCATCATTAAAATTATTTAAATCATCTGTAACTTGTTCATTTCTAAGTTGATTTAAAAACTCTATAAAAGCAATAGTAAATGAACAACCCTGAAATCTTGAATATTCGCAGAACCTTTTATATAAAAAAATAAAAATAATAATTAATATTTATAAATTTCATGAAATATAGACTGAAAACTTACAATTTAATAAAATGTACCAAATCTAATGGATAGTCAGCTGAATAATTTCTTGTGTAAAGTAATGCCTCTTCGTGACAACCAGCAATATATAAGCATTGGATAGTTCTATCCAAAATCTGACATTGGCTAAAAACCTCTGCTGCAATTAATGGATAGCCATTCATTAAAATAAATTCGCCCAACTCTAAAGAAGGTCTAAAACGACCAGACAACAATAAACGAGTGAAAATATTAACATTCCCATCATAGAAAGCTTCCCTTGCTAAAAACATTGTTTCTTCAGTTGAAAACTTTTTAAGACTTTCTATCAATGCTGAATAATAAGTTGATATTGCTTTGTTATCGGTTGTTTGGGTGAAAATATTAAAAACCCTTTCACCTCTTAGGTCATTTTTAAATACATTATCAACTGCTTCCTGGTAACGACCCTCAACAACATCTTGAACAATTGTGTATAAATTGTGGTTCTTAATACGCTCTACATCCAACTTTGGTGCCATATAACTACGTAGCTTTGAAAGTATTTGATGATAAGTGAAGCCATTACCTGTTCCATCTTCGTTGTCAACTGTTAGAATGACTGAACTATCAATGCTTGGTGTTTGATTAATATTGTTGGTTGAATAATGAACTAAAGCTGATGGGTCTTTGAACTTTGAATAAAACTGTAACATTGATAAAGAGAGTGATGGCTTATAGTCTAATGACCCAATAGAAACACCCTCAACACAAATTTGGTTGATTGCATGATAAAAAAGTTTATCATTAAATTGGGTTTGATATTTACCAACCAACTCAACTCTAATATAGCCGCCCAATACTAACTCTGGTTCTAGTTTGAAAGTTTGTGGTTTATCGGTGTGTTTGCAACCAAATAATTGTGATCTATAATGGAAGTGATCCGGTGTAAAACCAACAGAAATAACAACACCCATTGGCGCATAAATTGGGAACCCTGATTGGAATGATGCTTTGTATGCTAACATTTTAACCGAAGATACAATACAAATGGGTTGTTCTAATTTGTAAACTAAAAACTCTGAATCGTGTGCACTTGGTGTACCCTTTGAACTCCAGAATGAATTATTATTAGCCAATGTATTATGAATTGTTTGACCTGAACTATCACACGAAGATGATTCGATTCCACTTTCTACTAGGTCATATGATCCATATAATTTGATAGAACCAAGTTCAAAATATAATTTTTTCCACTCGCACATTGAAATTTCAAATCCGTCTTCTTTACCCTCTTCATTCATCATTTGTTGGTTTCTGCTATCATTATCGATTGAAATTGGTTCCAAGTCATCTGTAAAGAATCTAACTGTACGTGCCCTCATAAATGATGATTTTAAATCTGACACTGTTGTTGTTGAGTTATTTGATAAGATTGGTGGTGATTCGTAACCATTTGGGCTTGTTGATGTAGTTGTGGTAGTTGTAGTAGTATCTCTATCTTGACTATTATTAAATATTTTTGGTGTTGTTGTATAAAAAGTAGATTGTTCCATTGTAAATATATCCCTATTATAAATATTAAATGTTCTACATTTTGGTCTCCCTATAATATTTAAAAAAAAAAGTTAATAAATAAATTATTTGTTTATTTTTATTATCTTTATTTTTTTTTAACCTACAAATTGAATATGAATTTTCAACCGTGTAAAATAGCTTTGAAACTAATGAAATGTTTAATAATGTACGAACATCTAATGATTGAAATATATATGCCAAAACTTCGAATGGTAAATTTGATATAATATCAATGTGATCTTGTTGATAATGTTTTTGCTTATCTGTTAATTCGCCACCTGCAAAAGTATTTGAAAAAACATTGTTGTGAATTGAATAGAATGAGTTATCCATCCCTATTGGCTTTATTTCGCTATCTGGTGAAGCTGTAAAATCAATGTCCAAATCTGAATCACTGTCAAAACTTTGGTCAGAGCTGATTTCTTGATCATTATCATTCTCTGAGTAATCTGAAAGAGATGAAAAACTATCATTTTCGATATCTATAAAACCTTCAACTGTAATACCTTGTGTCAATGGCGACATTTGATTTTCACCGTCACCAACCCCACCAACTATTATTGACGTTGTATTTGCTCCTCCTCTTCTTCTTCTTCTTCTTCCACCACTACTATTACTATTTCGTCTTTCATTTTCATAATCCCCAGGTCTATTTAAAAACTCTTCTAAACTTTCATTATTAAATCTTTCCTCCATGGTGATAATATATGCTGATTGACAATATTGGTTTTTTTTATAAATTATGAGTTAATAGTATTATGTTATTATTATTATTTGCCTGTAATTTATATAGTACTATTTGTTATTTTCTTTAAATTAACCTTTAAGAATAATAAAAAAAATTAGGTGGTTAAAAAAAAATAAAAAAATGAAATTTAAAAATAAAAAAATTTGGGTTGTGTTTTATAAAAAAAAAAATAATTGGATTATGGAATTATTTTACTATATAGCCAGAGTAAAGTGTGTTGGGATTTTAAAATATTTGTTTATTTTTTATTTATTTATGTCTATTTAAATAAAAAAATAAAATATTCATAAAAAAAATAAAATTTTTGTTTATATAAATCTGTAACCAAAAAATACCTATCAAAATGGGATGAATTATTAAAACTATTTATATAGAACAACAAAAAACAATAGGGTTATTTATTATATAATAAACACTATGTATAAATTGTAATTATGGCAGGTGAAACCAAGTGATTTTTTTTCAAAAAAAAATAAAAATAAAAAAAAAGTTTAAAAAAAATAAAAAAAAAAAAAAGAAAAAAAAATTATTAATTAAATTAATTATTATTTTTTGATCTCCAATAATATTGTTTTTTTTTTTTTTTTTTTTTTCGTTTATTTATTTAATTTTAATTTAATATCATTTTAAAAAAAAAAATAAAAAAATAAAAAAATAAAAAAAAAAAAGTTTTTATAATTTTAAAATTATAAAATCTTAAAAATATTAATTAAATTAAAATTAAATTAATAAATTGGTTATTTTGTTTTAAATATTATTATTTTTGTTAAACCTAAAACATATTTTAAAGATATTATTTATTTTTTTATTTTTTTATTTTTTTTATTTTTTTTTTATTTATATTATTCATTTATTAATTTATATATATATTTATAAAATAAACACTGGTGCATTTTTTTTATCGTTGAATTGAAATCCCCTTTGAAAAAAAAAAAACAAAACAAAAATAAAAACAAAAAATATGAAAAATATAAAAAATATATAAAAAAAAATATTATGATATTTTTTTACAAATAAATAAATAAATTTTATATAAATAGAATTATTTGTTTTTTTATTTATTTTTTATTTATTTTTTATTTATTTTTTTATTTTTTTATTTTTTTATTTTTTTATTTTTTTAAATTATCTTTATTTCCCAAATTAACATTTTTTTTATTTGTTTTTGTTTTAATATTAGAGTTTTAAATAGAAAAA